CGCTCGAATTAAAAAAACGCCGAGAAAACAAGAGAGGTCGACTTGGGGCAAGTCTACACCAACAGCATCGCAAGTTTTATTAAAACAGGGGTGCCGAACACATTTCGCTCGCTTTTTTTTTTTCTATACGCCGTGTGTGGGACCTGAAACAACCATGCTCGCCTGCAGCAATAATCGTCGGTCCCTAACCCTTTGGTCTGCTATATCTCTCCACCACCTCAATCAATGCTACAACCCCCCCCTTTGAAAAAGTCCTGGATCCGCCCCTGGTATGCAAAACAAGCTTAACTAATTTCCTCGACGACTTTTTCTTAGATAAAAAATTTCCTTCTTCACTTCTGGCAAGGAATGCCTGACCATCTTCTACCGCTGATGGAGACAGAGGTTGTCTCTGATGTTATCTGTGTTTGTGATTCTATTCTTTATAAGGTAAATACAGAATGACCATTTGGTAAATGCCTGCTAAAGTCAAGTGGTTTTAACCTTTATCTTTTGATAATGTGTTGTCTTTGTTTAACGAGGCCCTAACGCGTTGCAGCATGTTTAATACATTATCGTGTAAGAGTTTTTTTCCGTGGAAAAGACCCTGCGGAATACTTTTTGGGCCCCGTTTTCATTAAATTTGGGTAGTCCTTATCATCAGTTCTCGTAGTGCGCTGAGTCGCATAATGCCTAAGGGACAAGAAGTTTGGTGTTTGTTTCCTAACAGGCCATTGCAAGCAAAAGAATCTACCCTAACACTCTGACTGYTCTCATATAAACGGAGCCTGAATAGTCCCTTTCACAGTCCCCTGCGCCATCTTGAAAGGTAGCCGTGCCTTTGCATCGAAGCGAGACGAACGGTGAGCTTGCAATGATAGAGACCTTTTTTAACACCTTGAACAATTATTCACACGTCTCTATCATTGCAAGCTTACCGTTCGTCTCGCTTCGATGCAAAGGCATGGCTACCTTTCAAGATAGCGCAGTGAACTGTGAAGGGGATTATTCAAGTTCAAAGGAACATTTCTTTTCCAAACTTGTACTTGAGTTTTTAGGACGCGCTAAGAATGTTCCACCATCTTGCAGTCAGTATCACAAGTATCACGAGAGTTCAGTACCAGTCTTCCTTCGGAAATCTTTAGCTGAGATCTTGTCATCCTGTCTTAAGGGACCAATCCTAGTGATACTTATTAATATTATTACTTATAGGTCTTAATGGATGTCCTTCTCCCATCATCGATGCAAGATGTCCTTGAAGGGTGAGTGTAAGGGGCGTAGCGAGGTCTCGATTTTAGGGGGGTGGGGGGAAGGTGGGTGGGGAAATGTACCATTTCCCCCCCAAATCTAGCATGATTTAAATTTTGGTGCCAAAACAAACTTTGAGGGGGGGGGGGGGATAGGGGGCACCAGTTTCGTATTCGATGCATACCGCTGTTTTTGAAGAGCACGGACCCATTTGTACAGGCTCAGCCCTTTTTTTATTAGTCAGCTATTCACAGATATCATTAAAAGTCTTTTTTATTTCATTCTTTTTAGTCTGCTGGCAGACATCAGGAATTTTGCGCGCCATCTGGAAAGCTGGGTAATCATGGCAACGGAACAACTCCCTGAGTACATCAAAGTTGGAAAGATACAAAGTAAGTAACCTGAGAAATGAAAGAAGATAAGATAATTATTAATCATTATTAATCATTATTAATTAAGTTTTGTTCAGTGCTTTCTAGTCCAGTTGAACCTCTATTAAGCGACCATCTTCTTGGAATTGTAAAGTGGTTGCTAAACAAAGGGTGGTGGATTACATGTACTGAATATGTGATCGATTTATAAAGGTTATACGGTATAAGGGCATGTTTTTCCTCTTCTTTTTATCTAGTCGTTAGAAGATTTGCTCAATCCATACGAAGACAAACATCATTCCTACATCTTTCACAGGTGAGTCAATTGTTGGTCGAGGGTCAAAATTAGTTTTAAAGTTGAAAATCATTGCAAAATAGATGGGCAACAGTCTTTGACCTATTCGATATTTAAAGTGCRCAACTTCTCATCCAATAGGGGCATAGTAAAACCTCTTTTAGGTACCTAGGACTACATCTACATTAATTAGAAAGCTGCACACTACCTGGTGATTTCGCTTCTCTCAGCTCTAACGAATTAGCCAATCATCGAACATTTTGAATTAGCCAATCAGCGAACATTTTGAATTAGCCAATCAGCGAACATTTTGAATTAGCCAATCATCGAACATTTTGAATTAGCCAATCAACGAACATTTTGAATTAGCCAATCATCGAACATTTTGAATAAGCCAATCAGCGAACATTTTGTTAGTCGTAGCTCAATATTTTTGATAAAGAAACAGCTTTTACTTAAAATTAAGAATATAGAACTAATCGTAGAACGATTTATCAAATACGTATTATAATATATAATATATTTTTGCCATTGTTGGTGGAAAATATTTCGTTTTGACAAAAGATTATAGAAAATACTTTCGCTAATAATTTTTCGCAATGAAAAGCAATGCATTGCGTGACGTCTAGATTCCAAATCATCTGGTACACATGCAAGATATATACACCTATTTCAGAAATCGTTGTCGCACCAAAAGCCTCAAGCAACAAGCCAAGACCGCAGAGAACGCCGGTAYTTTTAGCTGTAATTAGTTTATTCATGGTGTATTTTCATTTATATTGACTTCACAAATTGCTCCAAGCAAGGCTGCTTRAGATGATAATTAGTGTAGAGCGATAGCCACTTGCATAAACCATGAATAAATCAATTATAATTAAAAGTACCGACGTTCTCTGCGGCCTTGGCTTGTTACTTGAGGCTCTTGCTGCGACAACGATCTTCGAAATAGGTGTATAATGATCAAAGCTGAAATCCCCTAAGGTGGTGGTACATATTACATACTAATGATAAAATCTTCTACCATTTAGACGGCACGACCAGTATTGTCTAGCCCAGAGGTTGTTCAGCAAATGGTTTACGATCTTGAGAAAGTAGATAATGGAACAATAAGTGCGACAGGATTGTACGGCAAAAGCGAGGCAGAAGAAGACGAAAGCTTCGACAAAGAATGTAAGTATAAATGCCCAACCTAAAACGACATGTATATCGGCAAGCTCTTGGGAAGTTATAGGATTTTTATTCGAGGTTAAGCAATGTAGACTTTTACTTTCTCGGAATTCTTATGTTCCTGCGCATTTTCAAGRCATCCTGTGACAAAAGGGATCCGCAGTAGAAGCGCGCATACTCCCTCGCAAGCGTTAAGAAAGTCAAAAGCTAAGGTTTTGCACATGTAATGATTGTCATGCAAGGATAAAGTTGGACAAAAAAATTCTTGGACAAAAGGGATCCGCCGTAAACACGCACACACACCCTCATCGCACGCGCAAAAGAAAATCAAAATATAAGATTTTGTGCATGTACTGCTTACYATACAAAGCGTCTCTGGAGAAAAAGGATCCGCTGTAGACTAGACGCGCTCTCACRCCAACATCGCGCGCGTTAAGATAATCAACAGCTAAGGTTTTGCATATGTATCATCTTTGCGCGCAAGTCAAGCACTAAATCTACTAAAAACTTTGATCTGCTTTTGCCTCATTATAGTCATGGAAAGGTTCAAAGAACTGCTTAATAATCAGGCGTCTGTCGAGGCCTATGTAGAATGGCTGGACAGCATTGTTGAATATAAAGTCATCCAGGTACGACAAAATAAATATATCCTAAGGTTGTCGGGGGCGATAGGAAATAGGCGATAAGATATAGGACATAGGATCATCACGAGTTGTGTCGTCCTTATTTTATCACATCTTTCTTGGCTTAATCATAAATCTGACTGTTTTGTAGCCTTGTATCGAGAATGGAACAGAATTCAAGAACAGAGCGCAGGATTTTCTTCTTCGATGGTCGTTTCTTGGCGCGCGTTTAATGCACAACCTGACGTTGAACGCGTCTTCGTGCTTTGGTAAGTGACTCAAAATTCTGTTTCAACCAAAAATTATAATCAAGCAACAACAAAAAAGTTTCAGTGAGCGCCACAACTTCCAGATTTCTGGGCTTTTCGCTACCGTCAATCAAAAATTTACTAACTAAGAGCGTTGGAAATTTGATGTACATGTATGGAGACCTTGCCGCGAGAAAACGTGCCGTGTCTGGAGTTGACTGGTTCAAAGAAACATGAAATGCGCTGTAACAGCTACAGTCGGCGAATAAAACAATGAGAACTAGCTTTGTGCATAATTTCTAATGTCATGAAAAACTTTGTAAACATTTTAAACTTCAAAGGGAATTCCAGAGTTACAAACCCCCACCCCCCACCCCCTCCTCCATTCAATGTTGTCCCACCTCACAGATGGTAGCTCCCAACTGCTCGCATGCAACATTGTTGGTATAWACTTGCTTGTTAAAAACCTTTTTTTAACACCTTGAACAATTATTCACATGTCTCTGTCATTGCAAGCTCATCGTTCGTCTCGCTTCGATGCAAAGGCACGGTTACCTTTCAAGATGGCGCAGGGAACTGTGAAGGGGACTATTGCTATGCTTGTGAGATCTTACGATGATTGACGTTTTTCAATCAGGTTCGTTTCATCTTATTCGAATGTTGATGGATGAGTACGTGCTACTCGTGATTGAAACGAGGTTCTACGATGAGATGGAAGAAAAACTGCAAGAAYTGCTAGATAGACATTTAAAAATGGGTAAGTTTGGAAAGGATTTTCTAGCTTATTCCAAAGGAACTGACATAGGAAAATTAAAACAACCTCTCGCTSTATCAGCATTTCAATCTTCTTAAATAATCATTATTGTTTTCTTGGCTATTTTAGGAGAAGGCATTGACAAAGACAATTCTCCTCTACGGGTGCAGACAGTCGTCACGCGCACGAAGTTCACGGTACCTGACGTGACAAACGGTGACATCATTCGTTCTTCTAAGCGTGACAAGGACATCGAATCAGAAGCCAAGAGCTCGAAAAGATACAAGCGAACGAAGTCACGCGAGGATCATCCTCGCACAAAATCAAGACCCAAAAGACTGTCACGTCCCTATTCACCTCATTATAGAGATGGCGGTTCCAATGGATTTATCGGCCTGCCCCCAACGCCAATGGAAAATACTGGCTTTGCAATCCCTTCACCAAGAGAGATGTACTATTCTGGTCAGAATGTATTTTCATCGGCGCCTGTGTTAACACCACCAGTTTCTCCAGCGGTCTCTTCTCCAATGCCAAGAGGTCAGCTGCATGGTAACGGACAGGCCCTAGTGACATACACGGCCTTCTCAACTGGAAAACGATCGTGCGCATACGAGAATAGTGAACCCGACCCYTCCCCTGAATTGATCGATAAGCTTGTGTCTCAGCATTTTCAGAGCTGTGGGCTTGGTGGATATGTGAATCCAAGGCAGATGAYACCTGTTAGTAACAACAACAACTATATGCCTCCCAGACAGGTACGTGATCAATGTTGGCTTGAACATTATTCCTRCTCAAGCTTTTGTTTCTATTTTTTTAATAATCGACTAGTTATCGAACTTACTGATTTTGGTCGCAATTGTTTATAGTGTAACCAATTCCTGTGAACCCAAATGCTTTGCTCAGTCTTCGAGTGGTACATTAGCGCCCAGTTTCCCATTCGTTGGGAATTGTCTACTCGTTCCATATAGTTTTATAGCTGTTTATTTTGTCGATAGTTTGCGCAATGTGTTTGAATCCCTTTATCATATAGTGAATCGCACTTGCGCATCAACTCGATTTACACAGGGCCGCCGTGGGTATCAGCCAACTGGTGATGAATGGGCCACCCTGACTAGAAAAAGTTTACATTTACATTTAACACGAGCACTTTCTCGGTTTTCTTGCGACCGTCTTATATTCATTTATTCTTATTTCTATCTTAGCTTTATTCAAACGGGCAAGTCGTACATCAACGCAACGACCATAACAACAACTACGGCCGCATGATGACGCATGCGTACTACATGCAAACCACTGGTGGCAACCAGCCACGTGACCCTGTGGTCACTACTGCGCATGTGTCAATGATGTCCTGTAACAACAGTGGAGGATACGTAGAGGCTGGTCACATGATGATGGAGGAAGATCACGCGAACATGATGAGCCATGATCAAGAGGAGTACATCGATATCGCAGTAAACAAGCTCTTTAATGGCGAATGCGAACTCGAAAAAGTTGATTGTGGTGATGAGCACGAAGCGTTGCCTGCCATTAATTCACTTTTGATGACCGAAGCAGCCATGGTATAGAGTGCGGATGTGAAGAGATTATATATAGAGCAGGCTTTATTTTCATTATCTGTGCCTTCATTACTTTTGGTTAGTGACAAGAAGCTAGTAGTATAGTTGCTGGCCAAAGAGGAGAATGATAAACTGATTTTTAAAATGGTTGGCAAAGACAGCGTGTCGCACATTTCTTAAACGACTTCGTGTGGTACAATTTTAGGTCATTCTTTCTTATACGTGCGCCTTTCTTAATGAATGCCGTTCATTCGTTCTGCCTTAGTTTAGTCAGTCATTATGYTATATTTTATTGACTTTAGGCCAGACGTTCCTTATATTTACAAGTGCGCACATAAGTCGCTCGCCCTTTTTTTTAAAGAAAAAATATATATTTTGGCGGGAAAAAGCGCGCGCTGCGCGAAGTTTTCGCTTCGTACAAATCGTAGAAATCGCTTTCCCATATAAAAAATATTTTTTAAAGAATATGATTAGATTTATAATTATGCAAATATCAACTTGGTATGTGAACAAGTAATTAATTACCCAGTCGAACAAATTCGCTTGAAATCAAGAAAATCAACAAAAAAGAAAAAAGACAAAGAAAAAAATCGGCCGATTCCTTGTAAATCAAAATAATCGCAAATATTYTTGTACAGAGTATAAATAAATATATATTTTTAGGTAAACCAGAGAACAAACTTTATATTTTTCAAGATAATATGTAGTCATGTAATGAAATGACAGAACATAGAGTGGTTTCTATAAATATTAGTAACTGCAAGTTTTGCCACATTAAAGAAATTCCAGAATACCAGTGAAGGAGTTCGGGTTTCTGGAACTGGCTTGATGCATTCAAGATTTTGGATTCTATTCTTGGAGTCTACATTCCGTAAACCAAATTCCTTTAAAWATAAGATTTTAGTTTTATTGTTTAGGAAATCTGTGTTTCCTTTTACACAGGGCAAAATGACTTTAACCAAATAATGGCAAAAGTGAGGAACAATGGGTTCGAGAGCATCTTACAATAGTCTAGCAACTGCGCAGGCGCGTTTATAGTAACTACTTTATTATTATTATTATCATTATTATTATTATTATTATTACGAGATGATTTATTAAATATATCATTAGATGATTAGTAATAGTTTAATAATAGCTAATAGTTTTACATATATTGTCATGTATTTACATGTTGGTTTTATATATTATTAGTTTATATGTAAAATGCAAAMATAAAATTGCCAAATAACGAAAAGTTTTCATTTCTTCACTGGTATTATTGTCCTGTTACRTTCTCGATAAAATAATAACTAAAATATATATGAAACGTTCCGTTCCGAAAATCGAACATTCTATATGAGATGAGATAAACCGCGATGAAAGGGAAAGGAAGAGAAGAGGAAGGAAATACAAAAGAATAAATGGGAAGAGAATGAAAGAATTGGTAAGATATGGGAAGGAAAGAAAGGGAGGGGGAGGCATGGTAATATAAATGGTGGTTGTTGGCACTGCTTGTCCCATACTTGATTTTATTCCATACACATACGCAAAGCGTACGGTAAAGACTAGATAAATATATTAAATAGATAAATAACTTAGTAAGTATGACAAATAGGAAAAACTACGAAACATTAAACTGCAAAACGATAAGAACTATGGAAACGAATAACTTACATTTGTGTATGAAGGGACGAAACTGCGAGCACCAACTAACTAAGTATTTACATAGAGGGCGTATATAAGGCGTACAAAAGCTCCTAAGGGACAAGACTAAATGACGAAACAATGACGAAAATACTTAGACTGAAACGAGTGAAACAAAAGCTATAGAACACTTATAAACGAACCTAAGACAAAGAGAACTACACTAAAAACTCATTATAGGCTTTTCAGATCTAACAGTGGTAGATCCTCTTTACCAGCCGGGGGTAGGTACATACGAGAATACCCCCTCCCCCAGGAGGTTCTTGAAACTGCAGATTTCGAAGTCAGGTGAGCCAGTCGAGAAAAGAAGTAATAAAATGAGAGTTTTTGCGTTTTTTTAAAAGACTAATGTCATAGAGAAACGATGTTTTGCCTGTAACAGTGGTCCACAAGAGGTATTCTCTTGTAGTTCCTTAATATTGCTTTGTTYCTCCTCTTCTCTGATGCCATGCTACGGGCCTGAAAGGCACTATTGCAGCAATATACATTTTTACCAAATGGAGGATATGTACTTGATAAAAAAAGGAAAGCTTGACACCGTATAATTTYCCCGCGCTTTTTGTTGAATTTTCTCAAAATGTGTATTTCATTCAGAAGAGTTTCAGTTTAACCAGTACTGGCCAAGTCTGAGTTTCCGTGAAAGTAGGTAAACTTACCTCCTAATTATTCAAGAAGAATACTAGACTTCAGTGTTTTGCTGAAAACTACGACGGTTGTTTGACGTGTTTCTTTYTCTCGTTTCCAGGTTCGCTAAGCTTCGCTTTCACTTACTTTGTATTGGTTAACCCCATCTATAGCTCGTGATTTTATCACAATACCAATGACGAACACTAAATGTCATTGTTAATCGTAATATATATGAGAGGGGAAATGTATTTTTGTATCATTTTGAGGTTTTTCTAATTAAATTTTCTAAGCCTTAGTCAGCCACACCCCCGCATAAATCAAAACGCAATTAAAACCATTCGCGCCTACGATCATTTTGATGGTTAYACCAGCGGTGAAGCTAATGAGTATGCGCAGTAAGTCATGGTTGACAGAGRTCGAAGGAAGTTGGGCAATGCTGGTGAAGGCTGGGACGGTTTTCTCGATAAAATAACAAAATTCACCATCTTTTAACACTCTTACCAACCAAACAACACTAACAGTAGCTACAGTTATACCTTCAAGTTACCTCAAGCTGTATTTAACGTCCAAATCCTGTTTTTGTTTTGAGTATCTTCGCCATATTTGTGACTCACTACGCTGGTTTGAACCTCCAAATCTCTGAATCTTGAACAGTCCTTTACTTTTAAYCTCCAGAAAAAAATACTTCTTAAAGCGTTCAGACCTTTCTAATGTACAAGATGCAGACTACTGAGCTAGATGTAAGTAATAGGTGTCAGAAATATTTATTATTTTGAGCTAATGTTGATATTTTTCTACGTGTTGGTTGACTTGATATGTTTTCAAGGCATTGACCTGCAACTTCTATCGGAATTATTACGTTGTACTTAATTTTTTGACGTTTTATTCCTAAAACAGTGTCCCCTTTGTATGGAACCGTTGGAGATCGATGATGTYAACTTCTATCCATGTACTTGTGGATACCAAGTAAGCATGATTTGTATTTTTAACAAAGTACAATCCTAGAGTATCTCTTGTCTGAGATCCTTTCTATCAATGTTTATCGTTATTTTTAATCACGTTATTATATAAAAATAAGATGATTCAAAAATGTTAGATGATTACCTATACTAATGAAACGCATTATRGCTTCAAAATACGTTTTTCTTAGTATTAGAAATGCCAAAAGTTACATAACAGAACGTTTTATCAATTCTATACGACTTATAACTACTAATGTGAGTTTTTGTAGATCAGTTTTTGTAGAAATGGCATTAACCATTTTCTTTTTTTYCCCATTGATCTCAAATTTATTTATCAAAATTAGTTTTCTATTAGTTATATATGGAAATGGAATGATTATTTTGGCATCTAGGAATTATTTTGGGATGGGTACCTTGGATATTTCGCAGACACTTAATATATCAGATATTTTTTTAGAGAAAGTGTTTGTACTTAAATGTACAGTTTCTGTCTTGAATAACATTAAAATTTACATGTAAGATAATATTTCTACCYTGCAAACTTAGAAAGTGCACATCTTTATTGTGAATATCCACATTTTTTTATTTATTCATTCATCTATTCTCTCTTTTGCATCTACTAATTTATTTTAATTTATCCCAGACAGTAGTAATTGTCTAATATGTTGATTTAAATATAGGTATGTAGATTCTGCTGGCATCGTATACGAACAGATGAAAATGGATTATGCCCGGCTTGTCGGAAGGTAATAGCATAAGTACACGTTAAATATATTAACAGATATTTACAGTTAATTTCACAAAACTTCAGCCACTTTGTCTCTGAAGTTCACAACTTGGTAATCAATTTTACTTTGACAATCTGAAGTTGTCAGCRATCTTTCATGCTGATAATACAGAACCTTCAAACACTCATCAAATCTATCATTGAAATTCAATTTTCAAAATGAATTTCAACACGAAAAAAGGAATTTGACTGTGTATGTTGTCTGAAATGCAATTTTTGAAAAGTTTTTGCTATCATTATTGTTGTTATTAA